GGGAGTAATTTTGTTATAATATGGACTCGACCTCCACTTTTAAATCTTTAAGACTGGCATAATCAAAGTCTAAAATTCCATCTGATGTCAAGATAGATACACATCTCAGAAAAAATCCTCAATGTCCAGGAACACTGGCAAATATTAGGGTGAAGATAGGCTAATAATAAAAGCATGAAACGAGAAATTGAGTCAGATTTCATTTAGTTTTTAACCTAGATTGTTTCTGGATACCACCCAATGGTCAAAGAAAATACTCCAATATATAAAAACAGGTATTTTTAAAAAGGAATGAAATGAGATTTTCCAAACTTAAAAGCTGAGTTAAATGCTACAAATGCTTTTTTTTTTTTACTTTCTTATTTTTCCATAACAAACATGAAAAAACCTTTTCAAAACAGGGGCATAAGTTTAGATGTAGCATCAGCATATCAAGACACCTGGTTACCTAAGCAAGACCTTTAAAAACAGTAATAAACAAAAAAAAAAAAAAAACTAGTTCTGAAATTCTCTCCAGAGTCATTTTACAAAGTGATTTCAACAAAATTCTAAGCATTATCATGTTTAGAAATCACATTTACTAAATTCTCACATAGATGGATAGGGATAGATCAGGTTCCAAAAGTACTTTAATTTGTTCAGGGACTTAAGGTTTTAAATCTAAAATTCCATCTTTCCCATTTTTATTCATCATGTTTTATTCCTATAGAATAACTTCATCTATAATATCTTATTGGATCAGTCAATTTCACTTATTTGAAGGTGGTTACAAATATAGACTTGATAAGACTAGGACAAATATTAAGTATTGGATTGAATTTCTACAATTTCTAAGTTTTTCATCTGAAAGGGGCTAGAAACACCCCAGAAACAAGCACATCCAGGACTTGCATTCTAAATAACATTGTCCACTGTAAGGAACAGATTCTTAAAGAAATGGCACATTCCAGGACTGGGAAAGAAAAAGCCAATGATGCTCCTAAAATCTTTCTTAGCCATAAAGTATGCACAAAAAACCCATGTATCAAAAGCACACAGGCTACCAATCATTGAATCTGGGACAATAAAAACATCAAAATTAATTGTGATAGTATAAAACTTGCCAATTTTGATTAACTGCTAATTAAAATAAGCCTCCATACCAAGGAAAATACAGTGTTGAGGAGGTTTATTATGTCTGCAGCTTTCTGTCAAACACGTCAGGAAATAAATAGTATATATCCATGCATATGAGAATACTCAACAAAAGTTAAGAATATACAAGAATTCTTTCAACTATTATAATTTCAAAGTTAGAGGAAAAGTAATTCACATCATTAATCAAAGAGAACCTAAAGTATCAATCTGGAACTTGACTAAGGAGATTCACTGCAGATAGGGAGAAAAATTACTTGATGGATTCCAGTTTAACAGCTCTGGAATCCCACCTTTTTCACAACTTCTTCACCCCTTCCTTATATCCATTTACCTACTTTTCAATTTCTTATATATGACTCTGGGGTCATATACACCTTGGGGTAGACTTCGAATGTGCTTGCCTTCCAATGGAAGGATTACACAATCATCACATTTTTTATTCCTCCACCTGAACTGCACTTTACAAAATTCTACTCATTCTTGAAATCTCTGCTAAAAGTACTTACACAATTTTTGAGTATTCTAGCAAAAACCAGAATAACCTCATTAAATTTTTTAAAGCAACAACTGGCTAACTTTATCATGGAAATGTCATTAAATCTGTTAACTCTTGCATTTGCATTTTGAAGTGCTTATTGCCAATTCCTCCTCCTCCTTCTTTTAGGTGTAAAACATGAGAAATTAAAAAGCATTGGTTTTATTTTAAGCAATACTACAGAGTTCTGAAATAATAAAAATCAAAACAGGTAATTAAAAGATCAACAAAAGCTATGAATGCTATTTCTAATATGAAAAATTTTTAAATGACTTATTTCCTGCCAGCAATTTATTTCTAAATTGTTATGCCCTTGTGTCTTTTTTAAAAATACCTTTTTATTTATTTTTATGTGGTGCTGAGGATCGAATGAAGTGCCTCACAAGTGCTATGTGAGCAGTCTACCACTAAGCCACAACCCCAGCCCCTGCCCTTGTTTTATACCAAAGAATTTTAGTCATTAAACTTATTTAACTGATAAATTTGAAAGTACAGCAGAATGTCAAATGGAAGAAACACAAGATACATAATATACTGTTCTAAGTACATAAATTAAAAATTTCCTATGGATGAACACTCCTCCTTAAAGAAAGTAATTTCATACACTAAGAATGTTCCCATTTCTCCAAAATTACATGGTGGTCAGGTGAACCTTAATCAGTCCAAGAACCTTTTTTTTTTTTAAATCCAGTTTATATTTTAATATCTGGATTTTTAATTCAGTATACAAAAACTACCAGTATACATCTATTAAGTTAATTTCAGTATTATTTCACCATTATCACTTACATTTACTTAGTGCTTTTAAGTGGCAAATTACCTAATTATGAACACTAATTTTTCAAAACAAAATTGCGCTCGAGTATATTACAATGCAGATTTTTTAAAAAACTGAATTACACATATATTTCTCTTTTCTAAAGTTCCTACAAAGAACTTATACTTAACTATTTGTTCCATAATTTTAAAATAACATTTGGCTTGGCTTAGTCAAAAATAAAAGGCTAAAAACCTTTCTAAGACTAAATCCATAAATGGACTCAAATTTTAAACCAAGCCTTGAAATCACAGCAAAGGATATTTTCATTAGTTTAACATTTCTGCATGGCATAAGGTTTTCACAAACAATCTAGTTTTTATCTTCATTTTTAATAATGGAAATAGTCAGCAACTCAGATAAATCCACAAATTCATACTGTCTTACAAGCAGCAGTAATATCAACACTGTTAATCCAGTTATCTCAGGGGCCTTATCATACATCAGTTATATGTTAACCTAAATTCACGGAAAAATAAAAATATTTCTACCAAAGATAATGTCTCCCTTTCATGTTTGTTGTTAAACGAGCTCAAAAGGAAATAGAGGTAGAATCCCATTTTTCTTAGGTACCAACTCACCAATTCCAACAATTAAGATATTTTCACATCTAGATAAGAGTATTACAAATACTGCTTCACTAAACCTATATAAAATAAGAAATTACACAGATGTGACTTTCAGACATCCAGGTTAAACTAACGACTAATCAACTCTTTCTCTGCTTGTCATACTTGAATGACCATAAAATGACAGGTCTTAAGCTTTTTAATAGGTGACTATATGAGATTTTACCATTTCTAATAGGAAAAAAAAAAGAGAGAACTAACTTGATAGTGAATTGATTAGTGGAAACCAAAAATTAAGCACATAAAAAGAAACTCTCAAGTGTCTCAAAAGTATCTGTAGCTACATTTTCAATAAAATCTGTCAGAATTATGGAATTCCTTTCTAGTTTTCAAATTAACTCTATCTAACAGGACTAGGGAGGTGGCTCTGTTACAGATTTACAGGTCACAGCAGACTAAGCACAGAACAGCCTGATCTAGACATCTGTTTTCCAATGTTTAAAAAAGTATATTCATGTGTTTTTAAAAAATCCAAATATCACCAGTATATTTTATAAAATTAATTCCAAGTTTTATTAAGGATTTCAAATTACATATTTCAAATTTCTAGAATGGAATAGAACCACTTTGGAACTGAAGAAATGGCATAAATGAACACTGACATTCCCTGAAACTCCAATTTTATAAAGAAAACAATTCCTGTGCAGACCACACCGATTATTTAACAAGATGAAGTATTACTATCTTTTCACTTTGGCATAGCTGTTTTCTAAAGGAATAAAACAAAAATAGTGATTTTGTTGCTTCTTTCAATTCATTAAAAATGGGATTCTATCTTTAGATCAAAATTTTTAAATTCAGAAAAAGCTTGTGTTTAGATTATGGTTAAAAAAATTACAGACTATCGAAGTCAAAGCAATCAAAATCATTTTGAAAATGAAGGAAAAAAAACTATTACAATTGGTTAAGGATTTCCAGTAGTTAGTTAAAAATCTCAGGAAAAGGCATGGATAATTCTATACAAATAATAAAATGTCTTCACATTCTAAAACCTTAATACTAAATTTTCAAAAGAAAACTATTACTTCTAAAAGTGAACTTAATGTAATTTTATTAACAGCAGAAACTCAAACCCTCCTGTTGTTACAATTCATTTAGTTCACCCTCACTGTCAGACCAAAAGTTCACCCCCCAAAATTAACAGTAATAAGCCTGAGGTATTTTAAATGTGGCTCTATAGTCTCAAATTTAATTGCATTCCCCTTCCCCAAATGGTCTTATTACCACTTTAGTCCCATGATCTCTATAGTATTTTGTTACAGTATGGTCATCTGATACCCTGGAAAAAAATCCTTGGACCTACTGAATAGTTCACTCATCCCATCCAATTTTCATTAAAATAGGGGCCATGCACAGATCTGAAAGAGTGTTGTCTGGCCAGATCCAGAAGAGAAGTGTTTTCACTTCATTTTCCAGTTAATTATGGAAGCCTGGTATGAAAAAAAAAAATGCCGAATATCACACTTGTGGTTCAAAACAGGCCCAAATTTTTAAGGTTTTAACAAGGCTGAGAAACAGTTCATGAAATTTAACTTAATATGCCTTAACACATCTGTGAGGTAGTTAAGTAAACAGTACTACCCATTTTAATACACAGTAAACAGAAGCATGGGTAAATGACATACTAAAGCAATAAGAATTAGAATAAACCATACAGGCTTAGGGCTTTGGTTCTAGCCCAAAGGAAATAAAATTTAACTGTTTTGCTTTTTAAAACTATATCACATCATTAAGAGTCTTTTTTTTTCCCCCTTCCACTTGCTTATGAAGCTGGCATGCTTTCCTTCAATAATATGGTAAACTGGGCACAACCTTTAATCCAAGCCTCTGGGTCTAACCTGAATTAGTACAAAATTAAGACATTATCTTGTGAGAACTAAAATTATATTTGACATTTTTATTTTAGGCTGCAAAAACAAAAACAAGCAAACAAACAACAAAAACTTGAAATAGGCTCGTCAAATGATGTAAATTCATCCTTTCCAGGAAAGCAGAAGGTAGATCCTACCACAAAGAAAAGATGCTTAGTTAATGGAAGTTAAAATTACAAGTACACTTTATCAGGTTAATAACCTTCTGAAAATTATTTTATTCACCTCCCTGTAATAACCAATAACCAAATTATGAGTTAGGTTTCCTTAAAATTAACTACACTTCATTAATAATCCTAACAGTTATCGAGTTTGGTCTTACTGGAAATTCTTAACCATGTTTGTTATGGGTTTTTTTCTTCTCTCAAATGAGTTGTATTAGTAAAAATTCACTACATTTCTGTAACAAATAAATGAAAAGCACAACTTTGCAAGCAGACTTAAAGTCACTCTTACTACCAGCTGAAAACTACTTTGGTTCTTCAGGAAAAAAAATTAGCAAACAAAAAACATTTAGCTTAATTTAACAGTTGTTAATTTTTATAGTTGTACTCCAATAGCTACATGATACAAATATTCCAGAAGAACCAAACTGCAGCAATGAATGAACATGCGTGAGAATTTGTGCATTCAACAGATACGACAGAAAAGCTATAGTTAAAATGCTAGGTAGAACAAATTTGTCTTTAAAATATCAATTCCTTTCCTTTAAAAAAAAAATTATTGAGTCTACCAAGAAAATACAAAAACATAAGGCTGTAAGTAAATAATAGTTGTGTATAGGCTATTACAGTGCAGGTTATCCTCAAGGCCACATACATCCTGCTTCACTGTTGCTTGCACTCTGCTGGGTTTTGATCCTTCTGTTAAAGGAAAAAAACAAGTCAATCTAATTTCTACCTGCTTTAATGCGTTTTAAATAGTAATTAACTACCTTATCACAGCATCTCACTTTTGTAAAAAATTTGCCAAATTAAAACAAGGCATAGGACAACTATGGCAAGTTATATTTTCAAATATTAGCAAATTGTTGAAATGCTAAAATAAACTCCAAATTTCACATTGCAGAATTAACTCAATGAGACACACTAAATAATAATCTTAAAAATATAACCAATTTGCCAATCATATTATCATTTATTTTTTGCCTTTTTTTGTATTCAAAGATACTAATTCCATTCATATTTACATATAAAGATCCATTTATACCTATCAAGATGTATTTAACTTGATTTTAAATTAGCCTCTTGCTTGCTTATGTTGAAGTGCTCCACGAATACATCAAGCAAATGAATGAACAGATCCTACATTTTAAATAATCTCTGGTAATAAACTATCTATTATTTGGGATATGACAAATTCAATTCCTAGGAATGAAGGACTCAAACTTTCAGAAACTAAGAATAATGGTGGTTGCAAGAATCTAACAAATAGTACTGGTCGCCATTTTCCAAGCATTCTTGCACTCAGATCCCTTAAAATTGACCTTTGTTTATAAGATTTTCTTTGGAAGGAAAACATATAAAAACACATTAAATTTTAACACTTAAAAACTGAAAAATAAGTAAAAGCCCCAAATAATGTGCCATTAAAATAAAATTTTAGAGTTTACTTGGCAGAAAAGTATAAAAAAAAATACAAAGAACCAAAAACAATGCTTCTCAGGGAAAGGTGCTCTGAAGTTTTATGTGAACCATATGAAATGACAACGGGAATTAGAAAAAGGGAAAAAAAAAAGTTACACAGACAATGGGGTTTTATATTATTGACTGTAATGAAGAAAATTAAACTTCATAATCTAACTTTAGCCTGCCACAAATTAAACAGAAAACACCACTAATTCTGCTCACCTTCGAGTCATAGTCTGGATCATTTTCCTCATCTCCTTCTTCTTCCCCTTCCTATATTAAAGTTCAAAATGCATCCATGAAGTAGGTATATAATAGGAAAAATTGGCTCATAATGTAGGGAAAATTTAGTACAAAATTTAATACAAGTTACTCTATGGGTCAACAGATTTTTCATGATTACAGAGTTTGGTGATAATGCAATTTAATCTGAAAGCTTCTATTATGAAAAATTTCCCAACACAACTTGAGACATCCAGACAGCTTTTATTGAAAAGATTTACTGCAGCCAACGTTGAAAAAGTTTACTGCAGCTTTTGACTTCTTCAAAGAGCTGATAACCCTGCAGCAGAACAAAATTATTTGAAATAAAAAAAAATGTTGCTGAGTTTTACAATTTATTTATTGAAACCTTATACATACATTGTTTGGCTGTAGAATTCTAAAATCATACTTTCCAAAATTTATCCCAAATCACATAATGATTATATAGCAAAGAAATACATAAATCACTCAAATTTGCTTCTCAATGTCTTAAACACAGAGAATTGTTTGCTCATTTGGTAAACATTACCTCATCCGCTTCTTCACCTTCTTCATCATACTGAAAAGAGAAAACGGGATTAGGTGTGGATGAATAAAACACTTGAGAATACCATCAGTAACAGCCATCATTTTCAACACCTTTTATATCTAAAAGGGGGGAGGGCTTTCTCTTACAGTGAATGATTAAGCTAATCATATATTAGCTTTGGGAAATCAGGTCGGTGCTATCAGACAATTATTACTGTAATTACTAGCCTATATTGAGGTGTGAAATACATTGCAAAAAAAAAAAAAAAAAAAGCCTAAAACCTATTAGCAAAAAAAAAAAAAAAATCCAAAACATTAAAGGGCAGTCTAATTTTATCTGTTAGCATCATATAATATTTTCTTAGAGAAAAATTCTATGTTATCTTAAAACACCAAAGAAGTCCTAGCTGTTCTACATGGAAAAGGCAAGAACAATATTTTTAAAACTCAGGAGAGGCTGAGGCAGGAGGATCTCAAGTTCAAAGCCAGCCTTGAAAACCCTCAGCAACTCAGCAAGACCCTGACTCAAAACATAATAAAAAGGGATATAATTCTGAAATAGAGTGCCCTGGGGTTAAATCCCCAGTACCAACAAAACAAAGAAAAGATCTATAGGATAATCAGTTATTAGCCTCATTTTGAATTATTCTATATCCCTTTAAAAAAATTAAACCTAATTTCCTGCTAATTCTGACTCTCATACCCACACCAAACTATTTCATTGCAGGACTCAAATTTACTCACATCATCATCATCATCTTCAATAGCTTCTCCAGTGAAGTATAACACTGATCTCGGGATTATACGCTCACGTAAAAAGTGACCAATTTCAAAGTCTGCAGCAAGAATAGCTTCAGCATCATCATCCTATTTTTTTTAAGAAAAGCACAAAATTTAAGAATAAGCTGTAACTTAGTTCGGCATATTTAAGATTCAAGAATTTAAATAATAACAAAATCAATGGTAGAGCAATTGTCCAGCATGTGTAAAGTCCTGGGTTTAATCCTGAGCACCACAATTTTTTTTTTTAAAGACGAACTTTATTTTCTACTTTTTAAAAAATACTTTAAAATTAAATAATTTAAATTAGCTCATAAGTAGTCATCTACATGTGCTAGGTTTATAGAATTTTAATAAAAACTAAAATAAGTTAGCAGACTAGTGTTCATGCTAAGAATAGTTATGGCAAATAGAATTTAAAACTGGTTATCACTTAGTTCTTTTCTGGTTCAAACATAAAATGTAAAAGCAACTCTGAGTTTTTCCTTTGAAAATATTACTGAAAAACTAAGAAAAAAAATCTCATGCTTTCATAAGTAACAACATTAAGTATATGATAAATAAAAGGACATAAGAGACCACAGAATATCACTTAACACTTCCTAAGGGACAGTACCCAAGCAGCTGTAAGGTTTTAAGTCATTATTACAAATGAGGAGTTACAGAGTCCTACTTAATAAAGACAATAAACCAAGTCAAGTCAATCTAGGATTTCTATTTAATAGCAAAACACAGTACAGAAATGACTGACATGATTGAGAAAATTTCTTAGATCTCATTTACGTTTAGATACGTACCAATGAATTAAAAAAAAAAAAGTTTATTAAGCCATCAAGATAACACACCCTGATAAACAAAAATGTACTGGGAAGGGGCAGACATGGAGGACTATGAAGAAATCCTAAATGGAGATTTCTTATAAGACTGGTTTTGCCATCAATATTTAGTAATATACTAAAACTGCACTTGAAGACAAACTTCAAGCCATCAACTGATATAAAAATAGTGTGAAGCTCTTTTAATGCTCCTAAGTAGTTCTTACTAAAATTCACACACTGATTTACATTCCCATCGTTTGTCCTATAAAGGATGTTTTTAGTAGGCCAGTTAATATTCTTTTCAGACAGAAATACTTTTTGCCACTTGCAATATGGCTTATGCCTCAGTCAAGAGTGTTCCAGTTCTAAAGTATTCAAATTAACATAATATTTACTTTCCTACACACATAAAACTATTTAAAACTATCTCAATTAATTTAAATTCAAACACATGGTCAACAGAAAAGCAAATTCAAAACATTAACTGGCCTACCCTGCCTGTAAGGACTTATTCACGGTTTTCATTAAATCGTTTTGTATACATTTTTGGTTTTCAGCCACAGGCCACATATAGTCACCATATGAAATCATATATCCATTGGCATAACAAACAAAAAAATTTTCATAGTAGAATGCATTCTGCTTTCATTAAGAAAGAGTTTTAAAAATTAAATCCCTAATAGAAAGAAAAAAACTGTCTAAAACAAATGCTAGCAGTGACCACCCCACTGTCCACTTTTGAAGACCAATGCTTTACTTTTATATGTATATGTAATAAACAGCTCAATAAAAATTCAACTTACCAGATCTCCACTGTCAGGAACTGAAAATTTGAGAAAAAGAAATGCAAATGAGTAAGAAACTAAACTAATTTCATAATAAAATAGTCGCCAATATCGAAAGTGAACCTCTACTTACCTTCAGGAGGGGCAAAAAAATTAAAGAAAGAATCATTGGAAACTGTTTTAGTCACGGTACGAACTGTCCCTCGTCCCTTGTGTTTCTGCTTCTTCTTAATAGTTTTCAAAGTGACATTCTTTCCTTTTTTCCAATCTATCTGGCACCTAACAAAACAAAGGAGGAAACAGCACACTTTGAATTTTTTAGAACTGTTCTATTTTAATATCAAATTTGAGAGAAGATAATTGGCTTATTAAATGCTTTCTATAGCAGCATAATGAGAGACATTTTATTTCTAAACATTTTTAAAATATAGTTAAAATTAGCAAAAACACAGTATAATAAAGATAATAATGCACTCCTTTGCAGAGAAATGTGTTGTTGTCATGGCAAAAAAAATTGTAGGAAAATTGGACAAAACATTGTACTGAAATGTTTGGCAATAAATAACACACATATGTATGTATCAAGTACACACAATAGAAATACCAAGCATCACAAATAATAAGTACAACAAAGAGATATAACGTTATTATGGTCTGGATGTGGGATGTCCCCCAAAAGCTCATGTAAGACAATGCAAGAAAGCTTAGAGGAGAATGGTTATGAGAGCCCTAACCCAATCAGTGAATTAATCCCCTGATGCAATTAACTGGGTGGAAGGTGAAAACCAATACAGTATGGCTGGTGGAGGTAGGTCCCTAGGGATGTGCCTTTGGGGCATATATTTCATATCTGGCAAGTGCAGTCTCTCTGCTTTCTGATTGTTATGTGAGCTGCTCCCCTCCTCAGTGATGTTCTGCCTGTCTTCAAGCCTCAAGGAATGGTGTTAGCTGTCTATAGACTGAGACCTGGTAAACAGAGTCCTAAAAACTTTTCTTCCTCTAAAGCTGTTCTTGTCAGGTTTTGAATCACAGCATTGAAAATCGCTAACTAAAACAAACACTGTGAAAGTAGTAAAATTAACTTACCCTGTACAACCCATAATTTCGGGTCCATCAAAAGAAAAGGGATCAGAATCGTCTGGTTCTGACCTCATCCTGTATGTCTTTGTCAACACTTCATTTGTGAAATATTCATTGGGTTCAAAGTGAAATTCTAAGATAAAACTCTTAAAAAAAAAAAAAAAGCATAAAAATTAATTTAACTCTTACACTGTGAATTTCAGTGCATAAGTAAATAGCTTAATCTATGATTTAGTGTATTTTTTGGGGGGATGGGGGTACTCGAGATAGAACTCAGGGGCACTCAACGTCTGAGCCACATCCCCCACCCTATTTTGTATTTTCATTTAGAGACAGGGTCTCACTGAGTTACTTAGCACCTTGCTTTTGCTGAGGCTGGCTTTGAACTCGCAATACTCCTGCCTACTCCTGAATCAGTGGGATTACAGGCATGCGCCACAGCACCCAGCTTAATCTATGGTTTTTAATAAGCATATACAAAATTTTAAAGGTTTTCCTAATTTTGAAACATAATGTTAAAAGCAAAACAAGGCACAAATAAAATGAATAGTTTCAATTTACAACTATCACACCAAGTCCCCCTTTTTTCTAAACCTCTCCCAAAATAGGCTTTTAAATGAGACTAGAATTTGACACTAGCAAAAGGTCAACCTTAACAATCTATAGCCTATAGTAATAATATTGCCAATTTTTAGGAGAGATTGTTAGCTAATCTTTTCTGAGGAGGAGTAGGGACCCTCTAATATCATACATTTTATGAAATTCCTATGCACATGATTTTTAATGACTAAGTATTTACTTATTAATATTACCTTGCCATTATTTTTTTAATCCACTTTAATCCAGGATCATTAACTGTATTTTAAAAACAAATGGAAATTCATAGGATGGGAAAGGAAAACAGCATAAACAATGGCAATATCCAAATATTTACTACAATTAAGAGTAGCAAGTTATCAGTTCTGTCTCACTTCCATCTCTAACTCTTGAATGGCACCTAATTTTAAAAACTTTCTTTCATCTACCTGTTAGCATATGTTACAAAATTGAAAATATTTCAAAGTTCTTTTACCATAGGCTGGCCAGCATCTGAGAACTTCACTTTAATATCTTTCAAGTGCTTCAGAATAGGTTCGTCATGTTCCTTCAAATTAAAATAATAATAAAAATTTTTGAGTATCTAACATGGCATTTCTGGATCCGAGTTCTGTTACTACATGAACCCTAGCTAGGATGTAATATCTTTCACAGCAAAGTTTTATATGACAATTATAAACCTTAGGACTCTCCAGATTATGGCCTATACTGAAGCCACTTTATACTATAGTTCTATTTCCACTGGTATAGAAAAAGTGACTAAACAGAGACAAATGATCATACAAGCTGAATAGTCTAAAAAATACAATACCAAATCTAAATAAGGCATCTCTGCTTTAAAAATGTTTCTCGATTATAACTGCTGCCTTTACTAGCTGCTTTTTCCTTTTCTTTTTGTTAAAGTATAAATGCAGTAAGCAGTCATTATATTGAGACCATTTTTTTCTTCACATGACTTCCAACAACCAAAAGACATGGCAACAAGTACTATAATACAGATGGCAGGGGTTCAAAGAAATGCTTGAGAAGCAATATTTCCCAAAAAAAGTAATATCTGTATTGGTTTTCCAGAGAATAAGACAATTATGAATGAGTTAAACACACCCTTACAATATTCCTTTAAAATGCAAATTTCACTTGAAATTGTTCTGATTTCAGACTGAAAGGTCTTGACAGCAATACAATTGCAATTAAGATTCCCTCCCATTTGCTATCTCAAAATTAAGCAAAATAAAGAAGGTATGAGAAAGTGCCCGGTCAAAACTGATCAATTAATAATGAGATCTCTTTCATTATCTAATATTTGAAAGATTACACTCATCAAAACTGTAATTTTCCTTCTATGGATGACTGCTACTTCAAAAAAACAAGCCTTTAAAGAGAACAATCACCAGAATCATATAAAATTCAAAGGTAAACTGGTATTTTTATGACTAAAATTACCTGAACCATGTCACTGAGCAAGTCAACATTCTTAAAAACAGTCAACCAAAATTCAGGAATTCCTTTAGGGTCTTCTTTTTCTTCATCTTTTTTCTCATCTTCTATCTTGGCCTTTTCTTTCAGCTCCTCCTTGATAAGTGATAGTATGTATATATATATATATATTATTGTATACCTAAAGTGGTATGTATATACAGTGGAATATTATTCAGCATTAAAAGAATAAAATCATGGCATTTGCAGGTAAATGGATCAAGCTGGAGAATATAATGCTAAGTGAAATTAGCCAATCCCAAAAAACCAAATGCCAAATGATTTCTCTGATTTAAGGATGGTAATCCATAATATGCTGCAGGGAGTGGGGTGGGCGTGGGGGGGATATGAAGATTAAATAAACTCTAGATAGGGCAAAGGGGAAAAAGGGAGGGAGGGGTAGGAAAGATGGTGGAATATGATGGTCATCATTACCCTAAGTACATATATGAAGAAACAAAGGATGTGACGCTACTTTGTGTACAAGCAGAGATATGAAAAATTGTGGTCTATACAAGTAATATGAATTGTAATGCATTCTACTGTCATATATAACATTCTCTTTAACTTACGGTGAACTAGATACTGAAATAATAAACCTATTATCACCAATAGTTAACTTTTAGTCAATGAACTTCTAGTTTAATTGTGTAAAGACTGCTATTTATCCATTCTAAATTTTAATTTCAACAAAATAACAGCTACCACACCTCTCCAAAAAAAAAAAAAAAAACCATTAGAATCAGGAAAACCATTTTAGGAAGATAAATGAAAAACAAAGACTTTAAAAATACAATAAAAAGGAAAAGCTAACAAAATAGTAACTTGTCTAATGCCTTACCTTGACATGTTCTTAAAGTATTATATTCTCTTTATCAATCAACATTTAAAATAGCAATGCTAGAGAAAAGCAGGGTCAAAAAAACACAACACTGGATTGGTGTCAGTTCTGTCATTATCTGTTGCAAGTTACTTAAAAGTTTCCAATAGAAAAATGGAAACAGTCTTTTGTCTGTCATCACAAAGTTCAAAAGAACACACTATAAATCTATAAGCTTGAAATACTACAAAAACACAAGGAAAAAAAATGATATTGGGTACAGCTGGTGCCAGGTTGAAGTGGTTCATCTACAATATGCATTTTATAAAAGAAAACATTTCCTAACAATTCTAATATTTCTGACAACTGTAAAAATATACTAAAAGAAAGTTGGTACTAACCGAAATTTCCTCTTCTTCATCTGGTTTCCATTCACATTCTTCTTCTGTAGGTTCATAAATTGCATTAATGATCTCAAATCGCTAATTAAAAAAAAAAAAAAAAAGCTTTCATAAACACACTTGTAACAAGCTTAAAACTAATGGTTTCTCACTAAGGACTCTTATAGATTTAATTAACAAACATACCACAACCTTAACTGTTACTATTGATGGCTTCCCCAAGTACCTCTAGCACCCACTTTAGTAAGCTGTACAAAGACTAACCCACCTCCAAGAGTGTTTATATTTCCAGAGCTTGTACTAATTTTAAATAAAGTAGTAAAGAGAGAATTATTACCTTATCAAATAGAGGCTGATAGAGAACAGCATACTTCCTTTCAAGATCATGAACTTCCTCATAGAATTTGGCTTCTATCTGTGCACATTTAACTTGAAGGTTTTTGAGAGCATTCACTCGTCTTTTAACTACCCTAGGCAAGCTGAAAGGTCAATACAAGTTACATAGCATCATAGTAACACACAAATCACACTTCTTTAATCATCTTGAAATTGAAGCAAAGGAGTGAGTGAATGAATAAGTTCCTATTTGAAGTAAAAGTATATTAAAAGAAATTAAATCTAAAAGATAAGTATATTGACCCTAGACGATATAAAACCAGGTAAAGTAAGTTTGTATTATAAATCATATTGTCAACCCTAATGTCTTTAAATTATAATCAAGTTCAGAGCTGGACTTGTCATTGAAGGCATCTGAAATGAATAACAATGACTACTTGAATTTTTTTTTTCCTCATATCTGTCTCACTTGTACCAATTTGGGGAAAGCACAGAATATTTACTTTAAAGAAAAGAATATGGTATTACTTTCTATTTAATTTGGAATTATGTTAAATAAGAATATATTATCAACAGAGGGCATAAACTTTTAACAGATCTAATGAGAAACAATTCATATACGATATACTATGGGCCACTGATTTTTAAAGTTATACTGGGTTATAAATCAAATTTATGAACCCCTCTACTACCCAAAGAAATGTCATTCAAAATTTACCTAATTTCAGGGAGTCTATGCAACAGATGCAGAATCCAGGTTAAAATTTACTACCACAAACAAATTTTTGTGGATCAAACAATTCTCATACTTAACCACTACTTCAGTTAAGATTATTAGAAACAAAAAAATACTGAAAGATAAGCTTTCTATTTTATAATTAAAAAAGTTAAAAACAATATTCTGTCAATATGGTGAACTACCATGGGCTTCTGGCTTTCTCTCCTACCCCAAAATTGCCTCTAGAAATTTTGCCACCAAAGAGAAAACTACTATTGCAGGTGCCCATGCACACAGACACATATACATACACACATACTCTATAAGTCACTTCTGAGTAATATCAAAGGCTATTTAACTGGTATAGGGTGATAAGGCAGTTTGCAATCTGGGGAGGGGATGGCTAGAGTATGTAGCATCGAAGATAGGCAGAAAAAATCATTTTTGCAAAGAAAATTTTAAAATCTCTGCTCTTGCCTTGCAACACTGTCTTGTATCATTCAAAAGAGCCCAATGCCAGAGTTCCTAGGGTAACAGTCAGTCAAAGCCAGACTACTTCACTCCTCTACCCATCTATCTAGGTATAATAGATCAGACACCAAAGGAGACTGCTTCTCCCCCAAGCAAACCAGAATAATTGCCTGGAATTGTCAGCCAATTCTGAGTCTTAGGCTCCAAGTGCATTCAAGTTATCCCCTCTCTCCAAGAAAATACCATAGACTATTTCTGACCTTCATTCTTCCCACCAATGTTTATTTTGAGTAAATGACACTACCCAAGATGCGTGAGCCCAAAAGCAAAAAAAAAGTTCATGAGGTTGAAAAGTTCTCCCAGAAGACAGCATTAAGTAAAATTGAAAAGATATGAGTTATGGATGACAAAAAAAGTAGCAACAGCTAAACAGTAGGGGGTGACTATTACAAGAAATGATTACAATTTTCCTTTTCTTGAGAAAATCCTTACTCATTAGTGGTATTTATTAATATCAAAAATAAAAAAAAATTATAAAGGTGTTCAATAGAAAAAAGCAAATAATCATCAAAAGGAGTCAGACTGATAATGCTAGGTTTCATAAGAAACATTATGAGAAAAAACTTAATTGTAATTAAAAAAAATTTTTAGTTGTAGATGGACAATACCTTTGTTTAATTTATTTATTTATATGTGGTGCTGAGGATCAAACCCAGTGCCTCACACATGCTAGGCAAGTGGTCTACCACTGAGCCACAACCCCAGCCCTAATTTTTAAAAGTTTTAAGAACTATCAATCTAAAACTTTATGGCCAAATTATTCACATATGAAAGCAATATAAAAATTGTATCAAGAACATCAGGCTTGAAGGCCATACATACATATATTAAAGAAAATTCTTGAGAAGGTAAAACAAGAACACAGGTAATTCCATAAGATATAGGTGATCAACCAGCTTAAATTTTACAGTTGGCTTGAAAATATATTAACAGTAAATTTAATAAACAAACAGGGGTATATAAACCTAGGTATTAAGTTATGATACATTACTATAACTTAAAACAGAATGTATTAACTTCAAAACCATCAGAAGACAGCCTGATGGAAAGTATAGGAGGATGATAAAAAGAAATAAGTACAAAAAATTTAAAAATAGAGAAAAATGTCACTGGTAAATTCAAAGAGAATGTAATTTTCAAGAAGCATGAAGTTGAACTTACTCACAAAGAAGCAAATATCCATACAAGAAGACAAAAAAGAAATGTCAGTCTTAAAAAAATAAATAAATAAAAGAAAGCTGAGATAGCTATCATAATATTAAGGGGGGGGGAAACAGAATTTATGGCAAGGGAAAAAAAAACTAAGTACAAGTGAATACCTCAGTACAAAAGAACAAGATATATACATTACAAACAGCAAATATCTAATAATACAGCTTCAAAATGTACCAACCCAAAAATGATAGGATTATAGGGAAAAAAAACAGATAAACTAGAGATCTTTAACATATTGTTCCAAGAAACTTAGAATAAACTGGTACTCAATAAGCAGAATCGATGAGAACCTGAACAATAAAATAAGCCTGAGCTATTAATTTCAGCATGTCTTCACACCCGACAAATATAAAAGTGTTAAGGCAATAAAAGACAGATTTTTACAAATCAAATAAACCACACTGTAAAAAGGAATAGAGCAAACTAAACAAATACACATTAACATTAAAGCCAGAAATCAATAAGAGTAATATAATTTTGATTAAACAAAAATATGTAAAAGGAAATGAAAAGCAAAACTAAGGTTTTAAGAAACATTACCAAGACCAACACAACTAGTGAAACAAATTGAAAAGCAAAATGAAGATTATGAAAAGGAAAATAATACTTTTCAAAATTTATCATAAACTATACTAGTCAATTTAAAACCCAGATAAAATACAAACCAGTTTAGAAGATAAAACTCTTAATAGACAAAAAAAAAGAATGTGAATAAACTGTGTTAAAAGAAAAAAAATGGTGGCCCAGGGGCTAGGGTTGTAGCTCAGTGATAGAGCGCTTGCCTAGCCCGTAAGGCACTGGGTTCAATCCTCAGCACCATATAAAAATAAATAAAATAAAGGTATAATAATACCTATCTATATGTCTATCTATAACTAAAAATGGTGGCCTCAAATTCCCCAAGAGCTCTAATCCCTAAACTCCAAAAGCCCCAAGTATAATTTAGAAGAGTTGTACCAAATGTTCAAGGAAGAATGAATTCCTATTTTACTAAGGTGTTTCAAAACACAAAATTAAAAAAGTAATTGCAGCTGCATTCATTCATTAGGCAGTTTTGGAGTCTTGACTCCAAAGCCTGTTAAATATTACCACTCTGTGAAAGTTTCTTTGTGGAAGCACAAATATACATCCATGCACACATATGCACACAAGCTATTTCACTAATGAATAAAAGCAGAATTATAACTATACAGCAATGTAACACATGATAATTAAGTTTATTCCAGGAATATAGCTAGTTTGATATCTAAAATATGTATTACCAAAACATACATTATTATATACTGAACAGATTCAAGGAAAAAGCATTTGAATGAACACAGGAAAAGATGGATTAAATAAATAGAAACTGAAGACTGAAGATGTAGCTCAGAGGTAGAGCACCTATATGGTATGTGCAAGTGCCCTGGCTTCAATTACCTGTGACAAACTTAAAGGGGAGGGAGGACTGAATATAATGGAGTTTTTATATTGATTCCCAATATGACTAGAAATAAGATAAAGATGCTCATCTGTAATGCTAATGTTTAACACAGTATTTAAAGACAGAAGAATACAGTATGATCTAAGGTAGAAGATTTGAGCTAAAACTGCCATTATTTGCAGATAAGCTCTTTTGTCAGGTCTGGTGGGAGAACATAATTACAAAAACAAATTCAGTAATGTTACTGGATAGAAGATCAACATTAAAACAACAACAAAAAAAAAATCGATAGCATGCCTCTGTATATCAGAACAGTCAGCCAAAACTACAACAAAATAAAATTTAAGGAAGCAACACATTTAAAATACACAGAAATGTCTGGGGAAAAAAAAAAAAAAAAACCTCTCTGATAAAGTGAAATTATAAGACCCAGACCACAATATAAATATGCAATATTAAAGATACACTTCTCTTATTAATCTACAAATTGTAATTCCTATCAAAATTTTAGTGTTTTTAAATTTTTAAAATTTTGGGAATTCTGATTAACTTAATTGTCAAATATGTGGTAATGTTATGTCAATTTTATGATTGTGTTTGGGGATGGGGAAAGATGGAAAGAAGCAACTTGCCTTGTCAGATAAGAAGACATATTATAAAGTCAGAGTAATGAAGTTATGAAAATGACGAAATAATACACAAAAAGGCTCATGAAACAAGAGTGTAGAATATTGTATCTGGGGGTGGGAGGGTATGGAAGGAAGCAACTTGTCCTACTAGATATTAAGACATGACTACACTGTGAAAAAACAACAAAAAGACAGACCAATGAAAGGAAGTGCTGCTCAAAGACAAATGCAAGCGTTTATAAGAACGTGATATGCAATAAATGTGGAGGGGTACACAAGTGAAATGGGGGAAAGAAGTTATAGTTTAGTGTTCTAAAACCTAGCCCCCTGGGGTAGGGCACGGATGTTTACTCACACCAAATACAAAGGTAGCTTCTAGAGAGATCAAAGACCTAAATGTCAAAGGTAAAACTATTAGTGAATAGGAAATATGGAAGGAACTATGAAAGACTTCTATACATTTCAAAAATCGAAGCCACAGGCAAAAATTAAAAAAAAAAAAATTAAGGATTTGTTTAATGGAAGACTCCAAAGATAAAACTTAATAGAAATTATACAAAATATTGTTTATAATACCTAAAGCCAATATCAGAATAACAGCATCTAGAATACAAAAGGAATTCTGCAAAACAAGACAGTAGGAAAATGTCCAATAGGAAAATGGACAAAGGGTGCAAATAGGAAATCTAAAAGTCTCACTACCTTTATAAAAAGCAGCTCAAAATTCATTAACAATCAGAAAATACAACAAAGTGAGCCCATAACTCTTAATTTGGTTTAAAAATAAAAATTTAAAAAACCCTATAAATCTGAATGATGCCAACTGTTGGCAGAGACACAAAGATAAAGCAATCCTCATGCACGGGGCACAGTATTTCTGAAAATTATGCTAGAAATACCAAAAGCTTGCATCTCCTACAGTACTAATGATCCCACTATACATAATGTACACAACCCAAAGAAAATATGCACGATTTCTTTAAAGGAGATGCACAGGATGCCTATCACAATAGAATCTGTGTTGATGAAGAGAAGTCCATCAAAAGGTTCAAAAAACAAACAAACAAAAAACAGTGGACACATACCACAGAGAACCAAATATTTAGAAGCTAGTAGGTAGTGATATACTAGATACTACCTACTTATGTACTAGATACATAAGACCCATATCCAATATAACTGGATCTTAAAATCATAAAGCTGAGTTGTAAGTTTAATAAGATATTCAGGATATTGTTAATTATTATGTCACTAATGAAATACAAGAAATCGTTCTTCTAAATCTATGCATTTCTAACAAACCACTAAACAAATCTCAGAAATGGTTAAGATCAGTGTATCTCCTGTGGACTTAAACTAAAACAAACTTTAAAAGATCAACTCTAAATGGGTGGTTCTAAAGCAAAATTCTAAACTTCCAATAATCCTATACTAGGTACTAGTAGACATTAGATTTCCACTATTGCATACATAAATCTTAGATGGTTTAAAAAAACAGATATACCTGCAATGCTGATTATAGAAAAGATAAATAAGGAGGATGAAAAAGAACTTGTACCTTTCAATGTATCCTGTTGGTGTTTCTACCAGACCATCAAGTCTTTCTTGAAGAGCTGCAAGAATCTGAGGATTTTGCATCATCTGAACAGTCAGCTGACGCGCTTTAAAAAAAAGGGGGGGGGGGGCATTGAAAGAAGGCTTTTATAAAAATGTATTGAGCTTTTTTAACAGGATAGTCCAATCATGAAGTTTTCCTAATTGGCCTATATATAAAATGCTTGTGTAATAAGAAATGGGCAGGGTAAGCTAAAGAAAACACACTGCAGGAAAACCCAATGTTCAGGAAAGCTCAGAACAATATTCTCTCTCGTTTCCTATTCTTCCTAGTACCTCGTTTCACCCACCTTGTACTTTGGAAAGCTCAAAGCTTCATCCAGATGCCTCTCTAATACTGTTGACAGTCCTTTGAAGGCATACAACACGTCAAAAACAAATATAATGACAGTCTGGGATAAAGACGGAGGAATGGATGTTCATGTTTGTGTAATATACTTGTGTGTATACAAGGAAGTTAATAGTTGAAACAGTCAAAGGTATAACTGAAGCCAAACAAAATTTGATTATTATTGTTTTTTAAAAATTATTCAGTCCAAATCTAAGCCAAATTTATGCAAAACAAATAATATTGCTCTTTCTGTATTTACCTATATAGATATTACACAAAATTGCCATTAATTTTTCCCAATTATGTTCCAGAAGGTCAAATTACTTCTGATATTAATTGAATCACTGGATAACATACAGCTGTAGTAACTAAAAGGCATTTTAGAAACATCAATAATGTCCACTGAGGACACAGTCTCATATCTGTTTAAAAAAACATTGAAAGATGAAAGCTATAAGTTCTAGAATCCTGTCACAATTTACTTTCATCTCTGGTTTAAAAATGAAAACATGAGTCATCTGGTGCTTCAATATTTTTGGCCCAGATGACAGGGTATACCTAGAGCAGCACAATTCCCTACTACTGCCACTCGTTTTAAAATTATGTGCAAGTAAATTTTGAATGATTTTTATCTACATTTAATGAACTACTTTCTTCTTGTTTGGAAGAGTTGAGTTTTAGAAAGGCATACATACTGCATGTTTTCTATATTAAACACTAAACATATTAAAGCACTAGCAAAGCCCCCCCAACCCCACCACCTGAAACATTTCTAAATTCAGATAAAATCCACACAGCTCTTTAGTACAGCCATACTATGTGCTGCCCCAGCAGTAAAGGATTTGATGAGTGATTTTAGATGAGTCATTACATTCATTCCTGACTACCTCCTTTGTTTCTCCCCTCATCCTTCCTCCCTCCCTCTTACACACACACACACACTCCCTCCCTCCCTCTCAAACACAGTTACTGAACTGGAAGTATGGATTAGTGGGCAAAGGACAATGTAGAAGGGCCCCATTTTTTTTTTTTTAAATGAAATGGTACTTTTTACTCTCCTCTAGAAGTCCACTGCCAGCCACCACTGGCTCCTAAAGTAATTTAAAATAATACCTTTGATTTTTGTTTCTTCACCAGTTTCTTCTTCTTCTACTTCTTCAACATCATCCAAATCTTGATCAAGTTCAGACTGTTCTTTGCTACAATATCATAGTATCACACCATGGTTCAAATGTACCAATTACAAAAAAAAATTATAAAAAAACTTAAATTCATTTTCTAAATCAATATGCTTTCTTTCAAAGATGATAGGAAACTCAAAAGGTAATTCAGTTTCTTAATTTCATAGGTAAGAACTAACTGGAAGTACATAAACTTTCATTTAAAAGCATCTAACCAATTATAAAGTTTAGGGAAATGTGTTGGTGATATAGTAGTGAGCACAACTGCCTTCCAATTATAAAGTACATACTTCCATCTTTAAAAATGTAGTGTGGTGGATCTGAGGGGAATGTCCTTTCAGGTGGCATATGCTTTTGACCTAACATCATCTATTGAGTTCATTCTTCCTAGTATGAGCATCCTCAGTTTATATAGGAAGCAAAACACAAAGTCTACCATTTTCTAGCCTACCTTGTAGCTAAATGTGGCAATATAACTGTTTTGGCAGTAAGATAAAAAAAGCAGAAGTAGAATAGAACTTAGGAAGAATCCTTAGAGAATAGTATAGCTAGGAAGTCCTTTTTTTTAATCTCACTTCTTTCCTTCCCCCCTAGAACATGGATTTGATTGCTACAGTTCCAGCAGCCACACAGAATGATGAACACCCAGAAAATGTAAGCCACCAAGATAAGTATAAAGGAGTTGGGAAAAATAGAAGGACCTTGAGTCCTTGATGGCTGGTGGAGCAACCATACCAACCTATAGTCACTATCTTTGGACTTTTCTCCTTTTTCTTTACATCACAGTAGAGATGGAGAAGAACTGTTAAGATATCTAAGCCTACTTCTCGCTTAGAGTAAAATCAGGAGGATCTCATTGAAAGAAGGTAAAAAGATAGCATCCTTCTCATTTAGTCTTAAAGAATCACCAAAAATCTAGTTTTTGAACATGAGATTATATCTAGCATTAAAAAGGGGGATAAAGATACCTGAAATCAATAACAGGGTCATGATACAAGTCTTTGAATTTGAATTTTAACATTTGGATTAGAGATTTAGTTGCTTCATGTCTAAACAGCATTTGAAAAATTATTTTTCATACAGGAACAAATACTAACTCTCATATAGGCACTAGTATAGAAAAGGTGGTAAGCTAACAAAATCTAGGGCCCTGTCAACTAAAGAAAGAAATTCAGCCCTTAGAAATGATGATTCATGCAATTTGTTTTACTTTGTACAAAGTACTCGGTTTATACTTAGTAAAACATTGCAGAAATAGTCAAGCATGGTATAAACCTAAGTGTATACCTGCCTAAGAGTTTAGAGTCACAGGCTAAGCTAAAGACAACATGGAGCAGCCATATATCTTCAATCATCTACTGAACATCCACATCTTAAGGTTTTAAACACAGGTGCCCATAAACTATGTCAGATGCCCAATTCAGCCCACTTTCATTTGGGTGGGTGGGTGCTGGGGATTAAACCCAAGGGGCACTTTAACACTATATCCCCAGTCCTTTGTGATTGAGACAGCGTCTTACTAAGTTGCTAAGACTAGTCTACAACCTGTGATCCTCCTGCCTCAGCCTGGCTCTCCCACTTCTATTTTTACAAATGGAATTTTTATTGAAACACAGACAAACTAATTCATTTATGTATCACCATAGTTGCTTTCATACTACATGACATGAGTTGGGTATTTACGAGAAATCACATGGCCTAAAAATGTCTAAAACATTTTCTTTTGGTCCCTTTACAGAGAAAAGCTCACTGACTCCTACTTTAAAGAACAAAATGCCCTTTCTCTCAGTCACTGAGGGCTAAGCGGTATCTAAAATTAAATAATAGGGGAGAAAGAAATCAAGACACCATAACCAATTTATTATTTTTCTAAAAATTTACAAACTGAGGGCTCCCAGGTTAATAAAGTAGTACTGCACAAACTCATATGATAATTCTGAATTCTCCAAAATGTCCACTAGCATTATGAAAAACGGTTTCAACAGACAGAAAGACAAGGCGACAATAGCAGCAAAACTCTGGAAGCCAGAAAACAGACAACAGATAATCAACTTCACTTGAGAACTAAAATGTAAACAGTGGGAAAAGCTAAGAACAACCCAAATACAGAGTTTTCAAAAAAACAAGAACTGGTAGCATCAACTACACTCCTATAACTAGGGCTTAAGGCTGAAGATGACTAAAACAAGAGAGGACTGGGTAAAAATTAATAAGCAGTTAAATCCCTAGATTTTCTACTCCACCCTTGTAGAAATATGGAAGTTTCATCTCTGAAAGATGGAACTTCTGAACTGATACTGGGAGACAGACACAATTTAGAGTACCTAAGATACATGACTGCTTGATAACAGAATGGAAGCCAAGCCTATACCCAGACACTACAGATGGAGAAATCACTACTGATAGGGCGGGGGGAGATTCTGGAAATTGGGGGCTTCTCAAAAGAAATACCCATTCTAATGATGCTACACTAAAATTCCAAATCAATAAGCCCTCCTACCCAACCTTCAGATTTTCTAATCATCTTTTCTTTTTAATGTCTTTCCCACTGCCCCTACCCCTAATCCCTCAACTTAATGCCAATCTTAATGAGCAGATAACCAAATACTAGCACATATTTGAGGAACTCTCTTACGTTATTGAGACTAAAACAAATGGGTGAAAGAAAATTAAAGAGCAAATAGATTATACAGAGGGAAGAAACATCCTGAGAAAAGATACAACCATCAATGAAATGGAACAGGATGGTTAAAAAAAAAAAAAAAATCAGGAACAAAAAGCAAATGAACTTTTAGAAACTAAATACAATAGAGATTTAAAATCTAAGACTGGAAAAACAAGGTTTCTTTAGTTCTGTCCAGAAAGAACAAAGAAACTAAGATGAAAAATAAAATGAGGTGATTAGAAGACCAATCAAACATATGACATCTACCAGGATGTGCAGAAGGAGAAAACAGAAACAAGCCCCCCAAAAGGTCAAGAATATTCCTTAGAACTAAAAGCTACTGAACTGCTGGATTGAAAGGGTCCACCACTGACTGCCTAACACAAAGAGATAGAATAAGCAAAACAATGGGAAAATTTTCAAAACTCCAAAGCCATAATAGCTTCCAGAAATAGTATTTCAAAAATATCACATGCAAATAATCAAGAAAACTTTTAACTTCAACACAACAACGCTGCAAACAAGGTAACAATGGAAGTAGCACCTTCAAAATTCTGATGAAAAATAATTCCTACCTTAAATTTCTAACTATCAAGCATAAAGTAGAAGTCATTTTCAATCATATCGTGTATCAAAATAATCTACTTCCCTTGCACTCTTCCAAGAAAGTACTAAAGAACCATAAGAAAAGAAAAAGTGTAGAATATAGCAAACTCAAAGAGAAAGAAATGGAAACACCAGGAAGATAGTATGAAAACCTTATAACCAGGGTTAAGAAATCCAGATGAGAGCAGTGTCTTTGAGACACAATCACTTTGAGAGACAATATCATTAAAAAGCCTGCTGCCTCTATTTTTTTTTTATGCTAAAGACAGTACGTAGACATGGGAATACTGGCTCAAATTCTCCAGTGTACTTGCATGTTGTTGGCCCTGAAGTAAAATTATCTGCCCTTCTACCACTATGCACTAATGCCTAAACAGCAACAAATAACCCCATCATTTTCCTCACCCCCAAGTGTTCTTTTTAAACTATCACGAACTGGCAAGCTACTATAAAATCAAAGGCAACAGATGTTGGGCAGCTCATCCTTTTCCATTCTCCTTGATTATATTTCTGCAAGACATCCATCCACTCACACTAGAAAACTACCACACAACTTAAAACTGTTTCCCAAGATACGTATTTCAAAGTGCATAGCACCTTGCCCTATAGCTTTTCCCAAAATGGAAACCAGAAAAGCTTAAACCAGACTATGACCCAAATAGTCTCTTGTTTTTACTGTCCTATCTTGGAGCCTTTAACTAACAGTAGTTAATACTGTTTTACTTAACTAAGTTTGGCTTGCTATTCAGCTCTTCAAAATTAAATATTGATTAATAATTTATCGGTAGTAAAACTCTAAAACGAAAAGCAAAGAAATAAATTAGACAAAAGCCAGATAGTGTTTACACACCTAAAGAGGACAGGTGGGAAATGCAAGTTAGAAAGGGCAAAAGGGGCTTCTAATAGTAATGTTCTAAAATTAACTTGTGCTTATGTCTTTTTGTTTAAATTCTATATATACATTTTATATACATCTTGTACCTATAGTGTATCTTCCTTTTATATACATCTTATAAACACTGTAATATGCCCATTATAATAAAAGTAGGAAAATCTCTGGGAAATACACATATGGTAAAAATGGATTCTGCAAGTACTTATGCCCTATTACAGTTCTCAGCACTTTCCTAAGAATACACACTGACAAATGATTTACCATGAAAGTGATTATATATACTGTGTTTTTTCATTGATGTGCTGTACCCAACTTTCAAAATAGCAAGTATCAAGCATTAGTCATTACTATACATTTTCATAATATATAATGTATACAGAAGTTAACTACGATACAATACAAAGTGATGCCAAATCTCTCAAAAAGTATCAACTATTTGCCACTTACTTGTCAATGTCTGCCATGTTGTAGGAACTTCAAATACCTATGGAGAGAAACATCAGTGTTAAAATATTTTTTCAGGAGAATATTGCTTAAAACAAACATGTTAGAGTAGGCTTTTAGAATCTGATATAAAAATTATTATATTAACATCATCAGTAAAGAATTCCTATTTGCTGTAAAAGGAATAGTGTTACCAAAGTCTTTTGTTCAAATTCTTTTAATCATATATGTTAAATTTTTGCTGAACTTTTAGGCTATTCAGCATCTTTGAACAAATCCACTTCACTTTTAACAGTATTATTTTTTTATCAAATTCAAGTTAAAAAAATATTTGCTACCTATTGTACTTATGCTCCTGGAGGTATTAAAAAAATAAAGGTTTAGTAATCTCTGCATCACACATCAGCCCTTTAAAACGATTACACATTAATTGTAAAAATCTAGGTCCCAACCTATTATGTCAGACAAACCTTCTGTATCTCATCTCACATGACTGATGTACAACCATTCCCACCATCCCCTGCAACAACCTCCCCTGGTAATGCTGATACACTGTTAATTAACACTCTGATTACCAAATCTAAGTAAGTTTACTGGAAAGATTGATTAAATGACTTAAATTCCTAAGGCTTAGAGAATACTTCTGAGAAAGGGAAGAAAACCTTAAGGTAAATGTGTTAAATACTTAAGTGAAAAATGGCTGAATGTTAAGTCATCCAGATCACTAAAAAAAACCTAAACCAAGTTTAGACAGAATTCCGCATTAGAAATCAAGTTTTCATCTTTCAGCCTTAGGATTAATTCCACAAAATCTTATAAGATGAACTACTCTCATAACAGCATGCTTAAATATTACTTAAGAGTATTCAAGGTTCTGATTTTAAGTCAAGTGGTAATATTTGAGGAGTATTACTGACCTAGTATCTATCCTTTAATTATAAAGAAAATATTTCTTTCTAATATATCTTTAATATACCTTCCTTTTGTTTAAAAATGTTTCCTTAAATATTTCCTAGTAGTACTGACAAATTTCTCCAGTGATACTGGGCAATTAGCATATATCTACAAAATGTTTAGCAAACTACTGATGAAATCGAATTCAAAAATTAAGAAAAATATTGAATCTTCAAAGAAATGTATTTGGGATTCTAAGTGTCTATCAAATCATTGAGAATTTTCTTTCAACACAGGGAAAAATTTAATAAATATTCTTTCTTAAATCTGAGTTATGTTCTCATAAACTAGTACTTTTCTGGACAGTTATTCCTGGTTAAAGGAATTTCAAAGGCAAAGTTTAAATATATCCATCTCCAGCCTTATTTACTTATAAGAATGTTCCATAAAGAACTACTGAGCGGGCTGGGGATGTGGCTCAAGTGGTAGCACGCTCACCTGGCATGCGTGCGGCCCGGGTTCGATCCTCAGCACCACATACAAACAAAGATGCTGTGTCCACCGAAAACTAAAAAAAATATTAAAATTCTCTCTCTCTTTAAAAAAAAGGTACTACTGAGCATGTAAGGCCTTGTTTTTCATATTCACCTTCAAGATCCCTCCAAAGCCCCAGTGAACAAATCCTATACATCTTGAACAACTGGTTAAATAATTCTTTGTTGTACAAACTCCTATATAGTTCTATTTCTTTCCATCCCAAGATGTCTCAAGTATATAATTACACATTAGTGTAAGCTAAGGTCTCTCCCAACTTTTCAGATGAGACTCATTACAGAAATTTATATGCTTTTACCAATCACTATTCTTCAGAGTAATATACACAACTTATATGTTATAAATTTATTAGCATGGAATGCACATATAAGGAAATGCTTTATAGTGAAAATGGAAGCAATTCTCAAGAGCTGATATAGAAATGTAAGGTATAAAATATATGGCAAAATCCCATTAGGACATGAATAAAATATAAGTATGCTCATACACGTACATACTTTTATAATATAAACAAAACCTTTACATACATTTTATTGGTGCTGAGGAACTGAATCCAGATCACATGCTAAACACATAACTATGATTGAACCACACCACCAGCCCCTTAAATAAAACCTTTTTCTATATCAGAAACCTGAAAGTAGTTACTATAAAACATGAGAAATGAGAATTTTTAAAAATTTTTTTCTTTTTAGTTATATATGACAATAAAGTATAATTTGACTATAAATTTGCATTACTTGGTTTTCCAGTATAAAGAAGTTTACCTAAATCAGTAATATTTTTCAATTTCCTGGGTTGTAAACATTAACATATTGTCTAATAAACCTAGCAATTGGAATATGGAAAGATATATGGGGAAAAAACTCAGAATTTCCGATTTAAATTTTTAGGCCATTTTAACATGTTCACAGAACTACCATCAATGTCCAGTTTTCAGCACTATCTCTAGATTCTGAACTTTTGAAATAAAACTTTTTAATGAAGATCCAAACTGCCCATTCAGGAAAATTAGATTTTTTGCTTGTGTACATTCATAAAACTGGGCCTAATTTCAGTTAAATCATTAAGGTTTACACTACCTTTGAAGCAATCAACAGGGAAACAACTTCTGGCTTCATTTCATCATACATAAAAAGTTAAGAAAAAATTCCCTCATTGGATTGAATTTATTTCAAGGAGTATACTCCACTCATATGTACAGCTTTATATTTTTATCAGCATTTAAAAAATGTTTTCATCCTATTAAAAAAAAAAAAATTCAAGGAACAAATCCATGTTAAAACTTTAACCAGAGTTTGATACCTGGTAAGTACTCTAAAGAACACATGCTATTTTCATCCAATCCATTTTTAATTATACCACTGAATAGTTCTCCAAAATAATAAGCTGGGATGATAGTTAAAAAATAGATTATTTTAGTCTTGACAAATATACCATGGTAACTTTAAGATACTAATATTAGGAAAAAATGGGAAAGGGGCATACAGAAACTCTCTGACCTATGTTTACAAATTTCTTGTAAACCTAAAATTAAAAGTTAAAAGAAGAAAAAAACCATTAGGTCCAATGGAATGCCCCCCCCCCCCCGCCAAAATCTTCATTTTTAACCCCTACCCCTTGCAGCTTCTGAGGCAGGTGGCTCTCAGATAATCAGATTACACTGAAAAATACAGGTTTATATTAATACCTACGTTGCTTTTTTTAATCTGGTTGACATTATATCAAACAATGTTGGACATAAAACTGCACTCCAAAATCTGTGAAAAACTTTTCATTCCTGATAATGACAAGCTATTTTATGCAGATTAATACTGCCAATAAAAAATAATTAAAAGCAAAGAACAAATTTATTAAAATCTAAATAGCACTGAAACATTAATAATATAATACAGAATTACTACTGGTCAAAAAATGAAGGCAAAATAGGAAAATACTTTTGCCCTGAGGTCAACTGCCATTATCAGCAAATGTGAACTCTGATTTTAATTTGAAATCAAAATTTTGAGCCTATCCTATGAGGAATGTTTATAATAACTTTCTGAAAATAAGCAGGAACCCCAAAGTGCTATGTCTTCAGAGATTATAAGCCAGCTCTCTTAAACAAATGGCCCAAATTCATTTCATCTGTGTTGCTGCTCCAAACTCCAAGATAGCGTCAAATATCCTGGCAGTATACTCACAGGCACTTGCTTATCAAATGTAAGTGAAAAGCACCTGCATTCTAGATCTCTAATTATTCATACAAGTAATTTCCAAAGGCAACCAGAACAACCTAAAGGAATACAACAGAAACCAGCCCTACAAAGACTTAAGTATTATTGTCAATTAGACTATAAACAAACTGTAGACAAAGGCCAAAAAACAACCAGTCTTACTAAGTCTAAAAATATAGTATCAGGAACTGTAGGTATAGTTCCGGAATCAAGTGCTTGCCTGGCATGTGCAAGACTATGGGTTCATTGGAAAGGAAGAAAAAACAGTATCTGCAAGAAATAGACATGTATTAAGTTAACAGCAGATTTGGAAAAGAACTTAATATATCAAATTAAAAGGGTCGCCTTTAGTAGATTAAACAAAATTGAGAATTAAGCGAGCTAAAGAAAGCAAAGAAGAACTATTCTAAAACAGAGCAAGAGATTAAAGAATGGAAGTACTGAAATGAGAAGACATTTTAGGATACAACAAAATCTAAAAAAGATTTCATGCCTGTAATAACAGAGGCTTGAAAGGCTGAGGCAGGAAGATCACCAAGTTTATCAGCAACTTAGCAAGGCCCTAAGCAACTTGGTGAGATCCTGTCCCAAATAATAAAAAGGGCTGAGGATGTGGCTCAGTGGTTAATTAAGTACCTTGAGTTCAATCTCTCATAGGGAAGAAAAAAAAACAAACTTCAAGTTCTAGGAGGAAAAGATAGGATAGGAAACAATACATGAACAAATTAATAGCTAAGCACTTTCCAGAACTGATGAAACAGACACCAACTCACAGATTCAGGGAGTTTTATCAATTCTACTCAAGACAAATAAAAAAGAAAACCATACTTAGATAAATAAGTAAAAAAGCAAGATCCCAAAGACAAAGAAGTCACCTAAGAAAGTACACAAAAGATTAATTTCAAAGGCATAGCTGACAGCTGGCTTCTCTTCAAAATCAGATACCAAAAGATAATAGAATTCATAACTTTCTGAAAATAACTGATGATCTTAGAATACTATATGCAAACAATGTAATCTATAAGAATGAAAACAAAGCAAATATTTCACTTAACAATACCTCCCTCCAAGCACTATCACTGAAATATTCTGTAGTATAATCTTCATATAGAAGGCAAGTGATTCCAGATGGAAACTTGAAAATACATTAAGGAAAAAAGATTATCTGTGTATATCTACATGAAGATTGTGTCTGTTTTAGAGATGAGGACCCATTAGGTTCCCAGGCTCAAAACTCTTGGGCTCAAGCAATCCTCCTGCCTCAGCCTCCCTAGCACTATGACTATAGGCACACACCACCACGTCCAGCTAAATAAGGATTTTGAAAGAAATAAAATTACCATTGTGAGTGTTAAAACATTAAAAATATCACACTATTTGAAGTCAGTGATGTGAATAAGCACGCCAATGTTTGTTAAGTATGCAAATAGTAATTTCCAGAATGACTACCAAAAGATTAGAAAACAGCATATATAACTTCCAAAATAAAGTAATGAAAACACACACTTTTAAAATAAACCTGAAAAGTTGGGCACAGTACTGCACATCAGTAATCCCAGCAACTCCACAGGCTGAGGCAGGAGGATTCCAAATTCTAGGCCAGCCTCATCAAGGTAGGAAGACCCTGTCTCAAAATAAAAAAAAATAAAAAGGGCTGGGGTAGAGGTTAGTGGTAAAATGTCCCTGGGTTCAATTTTCAGTACCAAAAAATAAATAAAAGTAAAATACTCCTGTAAACTTCAGAGTAATTACATTAAATGTAAAAGTAAATGTTCCTATCAAAGATTCTAAGTCAGGCCATGCATGGGGTCACACCTTGATCCCAGTGACTTAGGACACTGAGGTAGGAGAATCACCCAGATCGACTCCATTCTTGGTGACTTAGCAAGACCCTCTCACAATTTTTTTTTAAAAAGGAGGCTGGGGATGTAGCTTGGTAGTAGAGCACCACTGGGTTCAATCCCTAGTACACAAAAGAAAAAAAATTTCCCAAGACGGCCTTCAAGAAAATTCAGTGTCATTCTATGGATAAGAAATTCATCATCTAGTTTCAAAACCCAGTATGAACCTAATATATTAACATCAGAAAAAAACAAACTTCAAGAGTATTACTAAATATAAAAAGGCCACTTTTTCCAAAATGGTTCAATTTATAATCCAATATATAATGTACAGAAGATCTTAATGGAAAGGCATGGTGATTCCAAACAGTATTCCTGAAAGTAAATCTTAATCTTGAAAATTCTAATATGAAGAAAATCTTTCATTAGAAAACAGGCCATTGACTAAATCAGGCCACAAAACCTGATCATTTTGTGGTCTTTTAATAACCAGATGTCCAGACACCTACTATCAACTTCTTATCATTCTGGTAATCCTTATTCTGAGTAAATTGCCCATACTATCAATGAATACGAAGAAAGCCAACATTTATCAAAACATTTGGCCACTCTGTAAGGAATTATAGGCTTTCCTCCTACTTTGGAAATAAAATATTAAGCGCCTTGCTTAGCAACACAATCCTGAAGTAGTTAGGTTTTAAAACCTGACTTTGAAAACAAAAGCCCATTCCACTATTCTAAAAACCAGGGTACTTTCCAATCAGCCTGTTACATAGATTATTCACTAAACTAAAGCATTATTCGTTTACAAAAAATGACTACTTCATGATGAAACAGCCAATCACTAAAAAACAAAAATGGTTTAAAGCCAAAGAAGGAAACAATAATACCCCAGGATATAGTTTTCCCTTTACCTCAGACCTCATTCCAAATGAACTTTAAGCAAAAATTTTTAGATAGCACTGCATTTGGCTACAACACAACCCCTCAGCTTAAACAGCTTATTTTTTTTACACTCAGTTTTTTCATTTCAGTGCTATCAATAGTCAACTGAGAACTTTGTATTAGACTCCCAAGCAAAATGAATTCCTATTTGAGAACACTGTTATTTTCTGTCCAAAAATATCTATAGAGTATCATCTAATCCAATAACAGGGAAACTTATCCTAGGACCCAGGACACTTGGTCAAAACTAATCCTACCTACAAAATTTATCCTCATGGTACTTCCAAAGTTACATGTACGTGCAGCATACATAAGTGGCGTACATATGGCCCAACTACATGGAAGAACACCTCATAACTATACAATGTTGTAGCTTTTCCCTAGAGCACTGTAGAATCCAAAATATAGCAAAACAGTTTAAGGGACATCCTTCAAAAACCACTACAAAAATCACCTCATTTTAAGTCCTCATTGCTCAGTTATGTAACCCTGGATAGTTTCTTTAACCATAACATACTGTTTCCTTGTTAAAAGAATTTTAAAACAAGGCTTGAATAATCACCCTGTAACTGCTCTTTTATTATTTTTCCATTGTACTTTTGTATTCTTACTTTATTTTAGAAAATGATTATCACAGGCCACATTGGGGGAGAGGGTGGCTATCAACAGGCACAAACTTCGCAGCAAGCGAAGTATTCAAATAGGCAGCAATAAATGGCAGAATTGGTAACTCAAGGAAGGTACAGAAGCCACTTTCCATGACACCAGTAATGTGCTCTAATGCTGTTGATGCAATGAAAAACTTAACAAAGAGAGGTGTAAAGCAACTATTCCCACCTTCTAACCACCACTCTACCCAACAAAAACTACTTATTCAGATGAAATGAGTTTAAATGGAACTTAAATATTTACTCAAAGTATTAGCCAAGACTACAAATGATTTCAGGTTTGATTAAACCTTAAGACTCCAAATAGATTGATCATTATTATTTCTATACTGGAGAAAATGAGGGGCTCATTCTTTAATCTTTTAATTATATTGAGAATTTACAACCAAGCAAAATACTAAATAAAGTAACAAAATTTTGTTTTGACATCCTCAGACCTTTATAAATCAAGCATTCTGCTTCTTTTAGCCCCTTCTATAGAAAGACCACTTGTTTTGAAATATTTTAAGAATTTATAATCAAATTAATCACCTGGGGCCAATATGGGCAAATTGAATAATAAAATAAGCTATGGCATTTAGATCACATTACTTCTGCTAGGAGTGTACCAAAAAAAAAAAAAAAAAAAAAAACCTTGTGTAAGGACAGTCATGTGCCTCATTTAGTATTAACTTAGTAATTCGTTCAATTAATGGGTGTAATATAAAAAGCAGATATTTCACAATAGATAAAATTTACAAAGATTTGCACCCAAGTATGGTGAAGTTTCTCATTTCATTACTTTAACCAACAACTGGCTTGAAAAGAACATTTTAAAATCACAAAAGATTAAGTCTTCTAAGTACACCTGCTTATGTTAGCTCCAGTCTTAAAAGTACAACTGCACGGTTTAGATTTAGAACATGTATTTCCACTTTAGCAACTTCAAACAAGCTTGAGACACTAAAATCCCTAAAGACCACTGAAAACCTCATTTTCCTCCAGTTTTAAGTAAATTACATATATGTGTATGATTTTTCTCTTATCTAAAGGTAGAACTATTACTTCTAAGATAAGGAGCATTAATCTAAGCTGACAAGAAAACAGGACATGGGCTGGGGGTGTAGCTCAGGGGTGGAACTCTTGCCTAGCATGCACAAAACCCTGGGTTCAATCCCCAGCATGCAAAAAAAAAAAAAAGAGGACACAGACACTACTTTCAAAAGATGTTTTGATGGTATTTTCAAAAATAGCAAATTTTCTTTTACACCTCTCCTGAAAATTTGCAACCGGTTTAAATTCTGAGATTTTCAAAGTATAGTGTTCCTGGAACTCATCAGACCAGTAATAGTTTAAACCGGGGACTCCTTGAGGACAGCCTGTGCCTGCTTGAGTGATCCTTTGTACTAGCCCTCCCCCACAGGACCTCAGTGGCCGCCTCCTTTAATTGCCAAGAGATTTTTACTGAAATGGGGCACATTGACAAGGTAGCAGGTACTCACTTGGGTTGGTCAGTTTATATTAACCCGCCACCCCATTCACCTTAAAAATAGCTAGTGAAGTATCCTATTCTGGGAACCTCATTAAAGGAAATAATGTCGGAAAGCCTGTGAGAATCTAAACTATAACAAGCCAAACCCTTTACCTTCTTAGAAACGTTTGAAGGTTTAGATAGATGAGGATCAATCCTTCCCCTTCCCCACTCCTCAAAAACAAAGGTGGGTGCAGACACCCACCTCCCCATCTTAAGTTCTAACTGTATCTGGGACACACAATACTATCTTTTGTTAATAACAGCTAAAATAAGCGCTTTACACGCATTAATTCTTTAAAATCCTGGCAGTGTATCAGCTAACATTCGAAATTTCCTCTGGTACCAATAAAGATTTAAGACCAAAGAGAAGCAGTTAAGAGTTGGAAACCCAGGGGACAGGGACTTATGAGCTCATCATTCCTTTTCATACCCTACCAACTCTACAACTTTCACTGAAAGTAAGAATAGCACCCCCACACACACTCCCACCCGCTGCAAGGGTCTCCAATCTTGGCCAGGAGGCGGCCACGCAGCCCCCTCACCACGTGTCGAAGGAAGCCGCCAGGGGGGGGGGGGGTGTCCCCGCCCCGCACGGCCACCGCCCCCAGTGGGCGGAGAGCCCCGCAGCCTCCCCGCCCCCCTGCCTCGGGCCTGGTCCCTCAGCGGCCCCTCCCTCCCTCCCGTCGGAATTCGCAGCCTTCCCGGTTCTTTCCATCCCCCAGCTGCCTCCCTCGGGTTATTACTTTGGGGGGGGGAAGACAGAGGCGTCGAGGTGGCGGGCTCCACACTGGCCCGGCCCGCATTCCCAGCGCCTCCCGCTCCTTGCCGCGCGGCAGCCGACTCCTCTAAAATACCCGGGCGTCGCCGCGGCCTCGCTCCAGTCCGCGCGCAGAAGCCGGTGGGGCCCCGAGAAACCTTAAGCACGGTAGGGCGCGCCGACCCCCCGCGTCTCCTCAGCGGCCCCTGAAAAAAGCACCGGTCGGCCCTGGGCCCCTCTCAGGCTGCCGTGTCCAGACTCCGCAGACCACTCCGGCCTCACCGGACGACCCGGAGGCCCAGGGCAGCCAGCAGCCACTGCTCTCGCTTCACCGTCCCTCCCCTCCGTGAAGGCCGCCCGACCAACTCCACGTTCCCTTTCAGGCCCCCATCCATTACCGGCAGCTAGTACGGGGAGCCAGGCGGTCGGAGCTGCGCAGGCAGTGACTCAGGGAGGCAGCGGAGACGGGAGGAGCAGGAGGCGGCGCCGAGAGCAGATGGCGCTAAAAAAGACCCGAGAGCCCGCCGCTCGCGCTCATATACAATTAGCGTCAGCACGTAGGGCCCGCTCCGCCGCCCTCCCCCAGGCCTCGTCGTCTCCTGGCAACACGGGCGGGAGGCGGGCCCGGGCCTGGTTGCCTAGTAACAGAACCGTCCTTCTTCTGCGGAGGTCTCCAACCAGCGGGGTGGGCTCTTCCTCAGCGTCCAGCTTGGGCTCCTCGGGTTCCCGCCACGGTCTATCCTCCTCCCTCTATTGAGCACCCCGCCATCTCTTTTCTCTCCTGGCTTCACTGAAAAAGAAACCGTAACCCCATTCGTAGTCGGGCACGGCCCTGACCCTCCCGTCTCACCCCTGGCCCACCTTGGGGGGCGAAGGGGGGTAGGCAATGAGGATGGTGGG